GAACTTCGGCATTTGAACTAATATTTGAACTCTCCTCGGGAGCGTATCACTCGGATCAGTAATTTTACCTTTGCATGTGATAGAAGAAAGATGCCCGGAGGTGCAATGCCCAATTTGATCAATGTTAAAAAATAATAAAGTGTTCAAAGACTCGTTGAAAAAGTGCTTACTTTCCTATTACATAAAAGGGGGGATTGTTCGGCGGTTTTTATATTGTGAACCCCCTATGCACCCGCGCGGTTCCCTTCGCTTTCCACTGATACTTTTATTTTTTCTCTACGATGAAAATTGTAGAAATTAAAGTTCGAATAAGTAGATGTGGCAATTTGAATGGTCCTCATTTCCTCGCTCACTCGTCGGCTGGGGCCAGCCGTCGCTGCGCTGGCTTCTCTCGCAGGAGCTCTCCGGGCCCGTGCGGCGGCCGGCCACTGCACCGGACCCCTCCGGGCCACTCCGCCACGCCGCCGAAAGGACAGCGGCTAGGCCACGGCATTGTTTGGCCTCAGCTGTCGTAAACCCATCACTTCGACACGTCCGTCGGCTATCCTCCTGACGTAGTACCGCACATTGCCACCCGCGCCACCAGGCGGCCCCCTCCCGACTGACCGCGAGTTTTAAATGCGACAAAGTGACACCAAAAAAGGCTCTTCGTATTCGAACTCTCGTTTGAACAGTTTTTGTCGCCGGACAAAAGTAACGATATCAGTGGGTAGGGGAAAGACGCCCGCAGGTGCAATAGTAAATGAGAGGAGACAAAAGTCAAACCATCAATATTTTTATTGAAAACGAAAAATATGCACTTTTTGAACGAGGTTTTGAACACTTTATTTGTTTTGGACAACGATGGGATTGGGCATTGCACCTCCGGGCATCCTTCCTCTATCACATGCCAACATGAAATTACTGATCCGAGCGATACGCTCTCGTGGAGAGTTCGACAAAAAGGCCGTGTTTTAACAATTTTAACGTTAAATATCTCAGCTTGTATTTGAGCCAGCGAGCCCAAATTTTATATTTAGAGTCAGGACGTGGTACAGAACGGCCACATAAAATTTCATCAAAATCGGACAACTTTTATTTACGAAAGGTCCCCCCTTAAAGCGATTTTCATTTTACCTTTACCTGGAGTTGAACCCGTGACCTACCGTTCCGTAGCTGGTAACGCTAACCACTGCGCCACCGAGACATCTACTCAACACACCTGACTGG